GCCGCCGTCTCCATTTTTGTTTCTTGAGGTAGCTTTTTGCAGTACCCTACTGACCGCTGCGATCGGTATTAACTTTTCTGGATAAAGATCAGGATTTTATTGAATCATACAAAAATGTATTGTTTATTAGTGTTAGACCAACACGACTCTCCACAATGGGTATGATATTGTCCACTTTGAGCATAAGCTCTCATGGCTTTGCTTTGGGCTTCCCAAAAGACCTCATACCAATGGAGAGTATATTCTTAGATTATAAATCCATGATCATTCCCTAAATTAATCGATGTGGGACTTTCATCATCCAACAATTAGTATTATTATTATTATTTAAGCTCAACTTGGCTGCTAGCTATTGAAACCTACCTTGATCATAAATTCCAATTTATGAATTTCAACGGAAAATCTTCAACCATCAAATTTTACAATAATTTCCGTTTTAAATTTAACCTAATTAAACTCAACCCTACTGTTAAAATCTTCAATAGTTTATAGCTTAATTTGACTCAATCGAGTAATCTTATTTATAAACTTTTTTAAATTTATAACCCAACATAAATTACATGAGTTTTATCACAATATCTACTAGCAATTAACTTAAGCGGTTACACAAATAGTATTAGAATCAGATACTTAAAAGTGAATTTAAGCTGTTACAAAAGTGAGCACAAATTATCATTTCTTTTTACTAAAAAAAAAATAAAAAATTAAAAAATAATAATTTTGAATTTAATATGTATTGACATAACTTAATAAATGTACTAAAATATATATTATTAAATTTCATTAATATACTTCAACTTTAAAAAAAAATAAAAAATAATAATTATGCCTAAGATACCAACGATAAAAACTTTCTAAGTTTAACAATATACCATAATTTTCAAAGAAATGTATTGATTTTTCTTTCTTTTGATAAGAAAAAGAAGAGAAATAAACTTAAAATTTATGTGAAATAAATTTCATTACAATCACATAATCCCCGACTCGAAAATACAAGAAAACATCCTCAAGTTCATATCACAAACCAAAATAAAAGATTCAAAGACAAGAGGATCATCATATGAGTGTTAAGCTACTAAAAGAGACCTACAGACAACAAAAAAACATGCGCCGCCCTCCCTCTCCTCAGCTGATCATAAAAATCTATGATGTTTTTGATTTGGGATTCCTCTTCCCTGCTTGTCTCCTTGGAATCGAGTTCTTCATGCCGATGAAGAACAGCAATGCTCCCAACAATGCCAGATTCTGCAACAATCATATCACCCAAAACATGTCAGCGTTTGGATTGTAACAATCTGATGATTCATCATTCATGGTGTTCAATTACCTGAGTGAATTTCACAAACAGTTGGTTGAATTCCTTCTTCTCCACATCGTAGTTGTAGAAATCGTACAAGATCGGTGTAGCAATAGCCTGATGCAAGATCTGCCCACCAAGAACACCACCAACATTCAACAAAATTCAACCCATTGGTTTCAAAAACTAGATATGCTTATCATACATACCAGTAGAAAGGCTCCAATGGAGCTATTGAAGATGAACAGCAGACTTCCAAGGCCCTTCAACGCAATCGCACTAGCCACAAGATGTAAGATCTATACACCCAACAACAAAGCTCAGAATGCCGCTTTGAAATTAAGAATTAATGAGAAACTGATGAACAACATTTTCTCACCTCAACTTTTGGGAAATTCAACCCGGTATGAGATTCGAAGTTGCGAGTGAAAACGTTGAATTTCGGCTTCAGATACCTGGCCGCTGATCCTCCATCAGTACCAAAATCATTGAACCTAAACAAACAAAAACAAAATCAAGATCCAAAACGATTTTGTCGATCCCTCAAGTGACTATCTAAAAAAATCCAAAAATCAAAGAAGAACTAAACACGCTGTCATTTCAACTCACAGATCTGAACACATAACAGGAAGAAACAAGGCTAACAAGACTTCAAAACAACAGCAACATCCATGATTTCAAAATTTAAGAGTTCATCAACTAAAACCCTAAATCAGGGTTTTCTCGACACACATTTAGAAAGTGACCCTACACCCGAAAATTCAAATTTCCAGTGAAGAAACTTCAGACTAGTCTAAAGAGCAACAAATTAAAGTAGATCTGAGTTGCTTACTCTTGCCAAGCAGAGAGAACGAAGACCGAGACGAAGAGAACTCTTCCGACGAACGAAACAAACGCCATTTCTGCAAGAAAAAACAACTCCGATACAGATACCGATTCCGATTCCGACCGAGATCTCGAGCCCGAAACAAGAGGAGAATAAAAAGAACAGGAATAAAGAAATATAGATTTTTTCTTTTTCCTGTCTGAAAACTTCGTTCCGTCTCCTTTCGTTTCCTCTGCTTCTCTCTCTCTCACGCTCCTCTGCTAAATATAAACTCGGCGCGACTGTGGAATTTATCCGTACTCGCTTTCGAAATTGACTGTATTGACCACCCCTTGCGGTCCACGTTTCTCCAGCCAATCATATTCGTTCATTTGGCAATAAGTTTGCCATGTGTCAGTTTCATCGAGCCAGTGAGAGTGCGTACGTGGCTTTTACGGAATTTTGTCCTTGTATTTAAATACCCGTCTTTTTTAATATAATTTACAATATTACCCTCTGTAATTTCTTCCATGTAATTATCGACTGTTATCCATTATTTTTAATTAAAACTTATTTAGTACGCGACGTAAAAAATAAGTAATTCAATCAGAATATTCCAATAATTGTTGTATAGTATATTTATAAACTATAAATAACAATAAAATACTAGATTTTGTTTATTTTTTAACATCATATTAATTAATAATATTATTAAAAATTATTAAAAATAATAGTTCAGATTACAGACTTATAACTAACCTACTTTTATACAAGCTTATACTCAGACATGACAATATGACAATATTGTAGAGAGTCGTGACTACTAATAATAATAAATATAATTTTTAAATTTTAATTTGGTAGTATAATTCAAACTTTCATAAATTAATATATTCATAACCGATCGAGAGTTATTAATTTATAATTTAGGGTTTAAACATGAAATTTTAATTGATAACTTAACCTATAAGTTGAATGTAATGGAGCTGGAATTTTTAAATTTTTTATATTTGAAGATGTTTAGTGGAACTAACGTGGCAATGACTTTATTTTTTCTTTTGGAAAAAAAAGTAAAGCTTAGTTTGGAAAAATCAGATTCTCACCGATTAAAGAAAAAGAAAAAGATAGTGGAAAAAAAACTATGAATTATTGGTGTGATTTTATTAATAATAATAATAATAATAATAATAATAAGATATCTAATTTTCTTTACAATAATTATGCCAATAATAACTGGAAATACAACTCAGCTACGAAGCAAATCACGTGATGCACGTGAAGAGAGTAGCCATCCCAAACTTTACGTTTTAGGATTGAACGGCTGAGATGAGATCTGAGCTGACCCAATCTATTTCTCCACTTTCCATCCTTTTATTTTTAAAATCGAATGATGTGAGAAAAGAAATTTGAGGACGTTGTGAATATTTAAAATTAAAAATAGTAAAAAGAATAGAATATTAGAGTTAAAATATTATTTTAATTTTATATATTTTCTATTTTAGTCTCCATATGTTTAATAAATTTTAAAATTGTTTCATTTTTAATTTTGTTTAATAAAATCGTCTCTATTATTAACCTCTCTACAAATAAGTTTTTTCTTAAAACAAAATTATTATTATTTAGCCAAAATTAATTTTTTATATTTTAAAAAAGTATTTATTAAAAAAGACAAAAAAAAAAAAAAGAAATTTAACATAATTTTTCTAAATGGGAAACCTAATAATAAATTAATTGTACCTTATATTCCACTCCACCTTCAAATAAATTGATGCATAATAATGAATAATGGGTAGGTGATGAAATTGGATTGTTAAATAGGTGGCATTAAATTGTGTTATAATTAGTGAAAGTTTGGTCTTCTTTGAATGCTACATGTTCTTATGCCTTTCCCATTTTATTTGTATTCATAACTTCCAACTCTTTTTGTGATCTATTTAATGCCATTTATTAAAAGGCGGCAATGTGATTAAATTCATTTATGTTATTAATAATTATAATTTAAACAGTAAATATATATTTCTTTTTCATTTTTCAAACACTAAAAAATTAGCTTTATAATTTATTTATTTATTTATTTTTTGTATCTTTATATAAAATATGATAGATCTGGAATTCATATTAATTTTTCTCGTGATCATAATTATTTTCTTAAATTAATTATAAATCCAATCCCAAATTGTATGGTTGGATAAGACATGTAATTTGCTAATACACCATTTATAAATTCAGTTAAAATGTAGGGACTGGAGAAGAAAAGGGAACTGAAAAAGTCCCACATCGGAAAGGCTGGAGGGGGAGAGGGAACTAACCTGTATAAATATGGGCTGACACTCTTCTTCATAAACGAAGAGGATTGGTTGGCTAAATATGCCGCGCTCGCTTAGACATGGCCGACATAATTTGTTGAAGCTTCAATAGGGTTGGCTCAATTAGCCGACCCTTCAATTCTCTCCCTTCCGCAAATTGATTTTATTGTCAAAATAATAATACTAAATGAAATTGTTAGCTTTAAAAATATTTTTAAATTAAAAAAATTTAAAGCACACGTCCGGATATGTGCTATTGTAAGTTAAAAATTATGTGCTTTTAATTGATAACTTGCATTTGAAAAAATATCTTTTACCTTAAAAAAATTTGACTTTTTAGAAAGTAAAATCTCTTACGATACTTGCAATTCACTATTACTTGTTGATATTGATATTAAAAATATGGTAAAAATGCGTAATTAAAATGAGAATTTATACATCTTTGTTTGTGTGATAAAATTAATTAAAAATATGTAATAACCTATTAATATGATATAGGATAAAATTAATAGAAAATACTAAAATAATTTTTTTATTTTATTTTAAAACCAAAACCCAGTTGATGGACGATTGGCTAGCGATCTGGAGTAGGTTTAATTTTATCATTTTAGTCTCTCTTATAATTTCCTCTGGTTGGACTCACAATCTACAAGGTTTTGATTAAAATCCTTCTCTCTCTCTAGAAATGGGGTTCTTCTCTTTCCTTGGTCGGCTACTCTTTGCCTCCCTCTTCATCCTCTCCGCCTGGCAAATGTAATCTCTCGAACTGATATCATTTTTCTGTTTATTTGTTTCCGATTATCATCGATTTCTGGGGTTTGTAATTGATGCCGTGTTAGATGATTGGCTTTGTGTTTTAACTGATTTTAGTTTTCTATTGGTTCAGATAATTGTTCTCTTTTTGGGATTGATATTCTTTTTGTTGATTGAGTCTACTTTTCGAAATCGGAGTGTAAGTGGGCTTTCTTCGTTTTCAGAAATTGAGGGGTTTAAGGGATAAACGAAGCCTTAATCGGAGTTTATTAGTGTGGACTGCAAGGTTTTTTATTGCGTTTTTCTTGCGAGCTCTGTTGGCAACTTGGATTTTGAGCTATCGCTTCTTGAGATTCGATTTAGAATATTGGGTATTTTGACGAATTGTTGTTAAGAAGTTGCAGTTTTAGATGATTCTTGAGGACCCACTTTACTTTCGGGTCATTGTTGATATTTGATCGTTTGAATTATGCATCGTCTGATAATTTGTTTTCCAGTTCAGTAGTAGTTTGAAAGGACGAAATTACCAGATTGTTGTATGTTCTTGATTTCATTTTTTGTGTTTTCAGCTAGATGGACCTTTCCAAATCCTTTTTCCAGGAATCAATCTTAATTACGAAAAAATTGGCGAAGGTTTTCAGTTTTCACCTTTGGGCAATGCAAGTGTTGTGTTGCTTAAGTTGTGTTAGATAGATTTATGTTCTCTTGTTTCTTCAACCTTCTATTCTTGCCTCGTCAATGGTAATAATTATTCTAACAACACTGATCCTAGAAGCTTCCCATTTCTCCTATTTGCCATGGGTTTCTTGTCAAACATGATTCAAGTGACCACAAAAAAATAATATGTAAAGGAAATGGAATATGTCGTGTGAGATCCTACATCTGTTGTGGAGGAGAACGAAACATTCTTTATAATAGTGTGGAAACCTCTCTCTAATAGACGCGTTTTAAAAACCTTGAGGGGAAGCCGTGAACAATATCTAATAGTGGTTGGCTTGGGCCATTACAAAGGGTATTAGAGCCAGACACTGGGCAATGTATCAGCAAAAAATTGAGTCCCGAAGGGGGGTGGATATGAGGCGGGGGGTGGATTGGGGAGGGAGGGTCCCACATTGATTGTAGAAGGGAACGAGTGACAACGAGGACACTAGGCTCCGAAGGGGGGTGGATTGTGAGATTCCATATCGGATGGGGAGGAGAACGAAGCATTCTTTATAAGGAGATCCTACATCGGTTGGGAAGGAGAGTGAAGGATTCTTTATAAGGATGTGGAAATCTCTCCCTAGCAGACGCGTTTTAAAAACTCTGTGGGGAAGTTCGAAAGGGAATGACCAAAGAGGACAATATCCACTAACGGTGAGTTTGGATCGTTACATGTCTTTTTATCTTTTTTTTTTTTTCTTTTCTATTGAGAATCTGAGCTTATATTGAGGGAAATGGAATAAAAGAAACGTAACATGTCTAACGAACACTGAAATAAAGTATTCTATGTTGTCTTCTTGCTTCGTGTTAAAGCCTAGTGGGCCTGTAATTATTGTTTTCTACAATAACTCCATAAACTCTTGGCTTATAATTTGGTTGGGATCTATGTTCTCATGCTTCATGTTGTCCAATTTTTTGCATTTACGTCCATCTTGATAAGGCGTCTATGTATAGGTTCAACGAGTTTGGCACTGATGGTGGACCTGCTGCAAAGGAACTGCTTCCAAAGTTGAACACTCTTAGGTCAAACGTCTCTGCTAGATTTGGATTCAACCTTCCTGTCATTGATGTAAGCTTTGATTCTTCTGTGAAATGAACCGAGTCTTCATACTTTTTGTGAGATCCCACGTTAGTTGGAGAGGTGAATGAAGCATTCCTTATAGGCATGTTGAAACCTCTTCATAGTGGACGCGTCTTAAAACCTTGATGGGAAACCCGAAAGGGAAAACCCAAAAAGGACAATATCTACTAGCAGTGGGTTTGAATGTATCAGAGCTAGACACCGAACGGTATGCCAGTGAAGACGTTGGCCCCCCGAGATTGCACATTGATTAGAGAGGTGAACGAAGCATTCCTTATAAGGATGTAGAAACCTCTACCTAGTAGACGCGTTTTAAAACCTTGAGGGGAAGCTTGGAAGGGAAAACCTAAAGAAGACAATATCTGCTAACGGTTTTTCCGTGTCGTATTCAGATTGTGAGTTCATTTTATAGGTTTCCCATTTAGTTGCTGCATTCCTGTCTCTGAAAGGCATTGGCGGGCTACTCTTTGTTTCTGGGAGTCAGATTGGAGCTTATCTTCTGGTGGAATTTTCTTTGCCTCTTTTTGATTACGCCTTTGTTACTTGGCAGTTTATTCTCTTTCCCACTATGACACCAAAGTTGGTTTCTGTATGCAGCTTCTCTACTTGGCAATTAGCAGCCCAATTCTATTTGATTTCTTCAACTATGGCCGTGGGAATTCCCAATATAACCTACTATTGAATGATTTCTTATTGGTCAGTTGATCTAATTGATGTACTTTTACACTAAGTCAATTCGTTCGTTCATGTCCCTGCAAGCTTCCTTCTTCTGGGTTATGATTCGTTTTTCGTTTTTGCTTTGCAGCACGTCGCACTTGCTGGTGCATTGCTCTTCTTCATCGGAACGAAGAATTCGATTTCGAGGAGGCAACAGAAGAAGAAGGCACACAAAGCCAAAACAAACTAGAAATGTAAGAGAAACCACTACTTCAACTCGAAATCGTTCCTTTTAATTCCCTTCGCCCAGGTCGGGGCTCGGGTGGAAAGATGGGATTGGATTGCTCGATATTGATGTGGGTTTTCAAAAAGCTTCTTATTTATAATTCCTTTTTGTAATCATAGGTTTACTCATTTAGGAATTTTAGTCCACTTTTGACTGTCAAATGGATATGAAGGGATTTAAGCATATGTTTTTCTCCATTCAAACTGTTTTATGAGGATTAGAATCTTTTGTTGAGTTAACCTTATTTGGAGAATCATCTAAGGATATCTCGGCAGAAGTCTCGTATCAATAAACATGTTTTTAAACCGAACCATCATTTCCTGAGTCTGTTTCATGTACTGTGTGCTTTTTTTATAAAAAAACTTATGTTGGTTATTTTGAGTTGTAAAAAGTACATGATTTTACGATGATTGATTGTAACCAAATGTTTTACTTATCATGTATGAAAATGTTATGTTTTATGGTTGATTTTCAAAGCAAATTATCTGGATCATTAGTTACACCAGTAATTCGAGCTATCAATGAACAAGTGTTACACATTGTAACCCTCCACCCACTTATGATGAAGTGATAATATATCAAGATACTCAACGAGGATGTTTTAGGGCATAAAAAAAAAAAGGCAAGCAAACTCGTATTACATTTTCTCGTGATAAAAATATATAATTATAATTATTTTCTTAAATTAATTCCAATTATTGAATAAGGCATGTAATTTGCTAAAACACAATTTCTATAATGTTAAGTTCTAAATATATAGAGAAAAAGGAAGGGGAATAGGGAGAGTGAAAGACCCACATCGGAAAGGCTGTAGGAGGGGGAGGGAGCTGACTTGTATAAATATGGGCTGACAAGCAGGTTTAAACTTAAAAGGGTCGGTTGGCTAAATATGCCGCGCTCTCTCTCAACGAGTGGGTGCTGTATGGCAATCTAGACATATGGCCGACATAATTTGTGGAAACGAAATAGGGTTGGCCCAATTGGCCGACCCTCCAGTCCTCTCTCTTCCAAATATTTATTTTTAAGTATATGCCCCTTTCAAACAAACATTATTTTGTAACTAAATTATTTGATAGAGAAATAATATCACAATTTCAAAATTTCAAGTTTAAAAAAAAAAAAAAAAAGTCTCAAAATACTCTGATGGAGAAATAATATCACGATTTTAAATTTTTAAAAGGTTCTTAAAATTAACTAAATATACCTCTAATCTAAAAAGAAAAAGGGGAAAAGTTGAGAATAGCCTTACATCTAAATTAAATTATCATTATCATTGAGATTAAATGAGTAATAGAAAAAAGTCAAATAAATGAGTAATAAAATTAATAGAAAATTCGAAATTAATAATAGACACGCGTCATTAATAGGTCTTTAGGTGAGAGGTCTATATTTTAAATCTTTTTACGTTGTTGGATTTAAAATTGTCATATTTGTAAATAGTTTCTGGCTTGTACTAGATTTTTTATTATCTTATCCTCTCATATTAGATTTCTACATGTAATTGCTCATTTAATTTGATTTTTTGTTTTAAAATTTAGTTTAGAATATAAAAGAGGAATGAAAAAATATTATTATTATTATTTATTATTTTTTTTTTAACGAAACAGGTATAAATTTTAAAAACAAAATAGTTATACATTGTAATGAATTTTTAGAATGGATCAATAAAAATTTAGAAAAAAAATCCACTACCATTATCAAATAGGGGACTAATTGAAAATTGATTCAATTCAAGTAAGCATGCAAATATATATTTATTCAATTTGACACTAAATATAGGACCCATTGAAAAGTTGCAAAAGCATGGACTACATCAAAATTATGCAAATCTATAGGGACCAATTATGTAATTTAATATTCATTCATTTATTGAAGATTTCTGCAGTCTATTATTATTTATATCATGATTTCCTACGCCAATTCAACAACTTTTCAAAGGTCTACAAAATACACAATTAAATATGGGTCAAATTTAGTGTTAAATTTAGTCCACTTCATAATTCAATACAACACCCAATAATTGTTTATCATCACGTGGTAGCTTTTACTATCAATTATGAGGAAATGAGCTTAAACCCTATTATTATTTATCTTCCAATTAAATATACAAACCCTAAAATTCATATTTAAAAACTACAATACACTATTAAAAATACCCTATAACATTTTAAATAATTATTTTAAAAGCTTCAATAATTCCATTAATAAAATTCATTTCTGTCAGGTAAATATTAATTTTATATGCATCAATGTTTTGTTTAGAAATTTTAATACAGTTGGATAAAATGAAATTTAAAAAAGACTAAGGGCCAATTTGAAAATCAGTAGAAATTGAAGGGTCATCTAATATATTTTAACGTTGCTTTCTTTTCAAATTATTCGTAACCAGTGGCGTTCGATCAAACAAATATCCGCCATACACGTGTCCTCTTATCTCTACTTTCTAAGAGGTTCTCATTTGACCATGTTCCTTAAAATCTGACGTCATTATTCCTAAAACCGCCGCAACGTTGTTGAGACCAGTCAAAATGATGCCACGTCGGAATCATACCTGTCCCCGCCTGTTTTACGTCACCCTTGTCTGCCACGTGTTAAATCTGTATTCTAAGGCATCAACTCCCATGACAATTATTATTTAATTATTACTAATCAACCCGATAAGATGAAAAATTAGTGGAGCTCACGTGGTCTAAACAACTTAAATTATCCAACTCAATGTTAAATTTTTAAAATTCAATTTATAAACATTAAGTTGGAATAATTTTTTTGAAAAATTTTAAGAACATTTGGTTTGATTTTGATTAGGCCAACCCGACTTATTTCCAATTTCTAATTTAACCTAATCATACCTATTTTTAAGATTATTATGAACGGACAGAATTTACAATTTAACCCAACCATATCTTATTTTTAAAATCATTACTAAATTATGTTGTATGGTGATTTGTGAATATTTGATATTATGTAACCTTAATTATAAATAAATAATATTAAAAAAATAAATAATTCAACCCACCCAATCCAATTTAAACACGATAGAATTTAGGTGGTGTAACCACACAAAATCTATCTTTAGTAGATATTATTATCTTTAGACTTTATCTTGCGGGCCTCCTCTCAAGATTTTTAAAATACGTCTACTACAGTGAGGTTTCCAGACCCTTACAAAAAAGGTTTAGTTCCCCCTCCAACTGACCTTGTATCTCACAGTAGGGTTTTGAACCCTTTTTGAATTATTGAGATTATTAATTCAAACCATTCAAATTTTACGTAAAAATCTAGAAAAAAAAAAAAATAGAACACAAGAATATTGTGTAAATTTTTTTTTGTTTGAATTATTTGTTAAAATAATGTGAGAAAAAAAAAACCAAAACAGGGGGAAGTTTGAATGTAATAGGGATGGTTTAGAATTTTCATAAAACATTTTCAACCATAAAATAAATTGGTCAAAAGCAATGGTTCCAATCCCTTTGTATTTTATTCCTTTTAAATTAAAAGAATATCTTTCTTTTTTTTCTCCTCATAATTAAGGAATTTATTAAAAAAAATTCTTCAAGATTTTCTTTCCTAAATTTAACTGCTTAAATTTTTATTTCAAAAATAGACGGTCTCAAAATAAATATTAATTATACAATATAAATATATATATATATATATTTATTATTATTTAAAAAAGAAAAAAAAAAGAAAAAAAGATGGAGCCCGTTATTCCACGCTCCACCAACTGGATGACACAGACCGTGCCTCCCACATGCCTCCCTCTGTCTCCTATAATTACCCCTTTCCCTCTTCCTCTTCTTCCTTATCTTCTCCATTAATTCCCAATCCCTTCTTTCTCTCTCTTTCACCTTCCATGGCCGAATCGCAGAGACGAGCCTCCGGCGCCGCCGCCCGGAAGCAGCAGCCAAGCCGCCTGCAGCGCCGGGCTCCAGCCTCCCTCCAAATCAGCCGCTCCGATTGGAAGGTCGCCATCCCTCTCCTATCGCCGCTCGTATCGCCATCGTCGCCGACAGAGATCCAAAATTGGACCGCCGATTCAGGATCGATTTCTTCTTCTTCTTCTCATCATCATCATCATCATCACCATCATAAAGAATCGGAGCCGGAGAAGCCGCCAGTTTTTAAGAAATGGCAGCATCCGGCGGCGCCTTTTCATTACGATTCGGGTTCTAGGGCTCCCAGAGCATTCGTACCCGTTTAGATTTCTCTTCCTTTTTTTTTTTTTTTAATAAACTCGACTCGGATCTGTAATCAGAAGAATTGTACTCTGTAGATCTAACGGTCTCTTTTTGACGAGCTTATGGATTAGATCTTATGCTTAACACACTTGATTATTTGTACATTGAATTTTTTTTAATTTTTTTTTTTTACCTGCCGCTAATATTGTATTATTATATTATTTGGTCACGAACTCCTCACCACACTGATAACGTTTAGGTTGAAATTACATTTTAAAAATAATAAATTGAACTAACATTTACTTATTAAAATATTACATTCAACAATAATTTAAGCTCCAATGTGGAGTAGAAGTTGTACGACGTCGTTTCCACTTTCCTCTATTTTAGTTATTTAATCTCTTTAAAAAAAAAAAACTAAAAATTTGATTCTAGCCATATTTAAATTATCGTGTTATGTGAAAATTTAAGTATTTTATATCGGATGAATAAATAGAATTTTTTAAATAGTTAAAAGAAATTAATAATCCAATTCGATGACAACCTTCGATACTCATTTTCAAAACAACACGAGAATGACTTAACTTAAATGTTTCATTCAAAAACCATTACTAGAAAAATCGATCTATTTTACCGACACTTTTTAATTCTCTAAGTTTAAAACACTGAACTCTGAATAAGTTTTTTATTATTAAGCTTAACACGACACTCAAATACAAAATTATAGTTTACCAAGTATATTATATTTGATATTTTATTATAAGGCAAATATTCCTATTATCATAGATATCTTTCCATCTATTGTTATTTTCCTTTATTACTCTTCTCATATTCTTGTAATTTATTGGATTATAAATATATAATGTAAAGATTAAACAAACATTCTGAATAACATTATTTATGAAGCAGAGAGCGAAACATCTTATAAAATTTTTTTTCTTTAGCCAGTTAGAATATTTATTTCTTTTTTTATTTTAATTGTTTATAATTGAAAAAAAAAAAGAATATAAAGATATATAATTGTGTACCCGTATTAGTAAGGTGATGTTTCTATTTTCATA